TGTGGCTCTGCTCCGTTGTAATGCACTTACTGCTCCATTTAGTCAGGTCATTGTTTAAGCCTGGTCTTCAATTTGACATAAATGATTTGTTTCCAGCAGATGGTAAGCTACTATTTTTTGCCCTCATTTAAATAGGAAAGCTGTACGCTCCCAGAAGATGAAAGAGGGGCACGGTGCTGCTGACATACAGTAGATTATGAGGGCTGGTCTGGTGAGAATTAAATCCGGGCGGTTCCAATGTGCCATCTGCCTTGTGGCTGCTTTCCCTGTGTGCCCAGGCAAATCCCCCCCCATCTCACATTACTGCAGGCATCTCCTTTGTTCAGGACCCAAAGCATCAGCACCAGAAGCTGAGGGATAGGAGATACTCAGTGCTAACCGTGCCTCTAATAAAAGATGTTAGATTTTGCAAAAGCAATTATTTATGGCATGGTTCTTTTTGTCCCTTTGTTGGACCTTTGTTTTCCCTTAGCCTCAGTAGTGGTTCTGTAGAGGTTCTGCTGCTTAAAGTTGTTCCCATTTCTAGGGGTGTTTGTTGAGAGGCATTTGAATTTCTTATTTTGGTTAACCTGCTCAGTCACTGCTGTGCTTTCCTAGTGGTACCAGCAATCATCTGTGGGCTGTGTTACTTCAAACACACGTTCTGCTCATAGCTCTCCTCTTCCATCCCAGAACACACCGTGGTGTGCAGGCAGCGGGCCCTGCAGGGCTGTGTTCACTGTCTGCAGAGATGTGGAGAAAGTGGAGCTGTGTGCTTTCTCCATGCATTGCAAAATGGGAGAGTGCACTTAAACAGAAGTGCTGCTGCTGTTGGATTTCTGTTTTCAGCAGAAGTGTGTCTTGTTGGCATCTCCAAGCTTTGGTGGAGCTGTGGTGCTCAGCGAAGGCTCACATTTTTGGGTGGGAGGGTCAGGCAATGTGTTCTAGCAAAGGGCTGTAGTTATGTGGTGTGTGGCAGCACTGCAGGACGGTTTGTGTTCTCAGAAATGCAGTGCTGCTGGGGCTCTCCTTTTTCTTCTTTAGGTTGTTGGCTGCAGTTGCAATCTCCTCTTACCTGGCCACAGCTTCAAGCTCACGTCTTTCTGCTTGGTTGAAGGCAGTCCACTTCTTTGTGCCTCATGCAAAAAGTGACTCTTAGATTTTTTGGTGGGTGGTGAGAGGAAGAGGAAGAAAGGGGAAAGTTGGTACAAAAGAAAGCCTTATGGGAGGGATGGACCCAAAAGCTGCGTCCATCCTGAGGAATGGCTCTTTTCAACATCTGCAGGAGGAAAGCCCACACTGTGTGGGTTGGAACTGAGGATGGATACCCCCTCTCTGCTCATCAAACACTACCAAGCATCATATAAAAATGTGTATACTAGAAGCAGGATAAGCAATCAGACAACTTACTCCTTGCAAGGCTGGGATTTGTTTTGTTTAAAGGATTTTGGAGAAGAGAAGGAGGGTGAGTGTAGGTTAAAGGAAGCCTGTACTCCCTGCAGTGATGCTTTGGGCCCTTGGGTGGAAGCTGGGCTGTGAGCTGTGAGGGCAGAGGGGTTGGGGCATCTGGGGGGCTGAGGGTCTGATTGCAGGGCTGCTAGGTCCAGAAGACCCGCTGTAACCATGTGCAATGAAGTTTTCTTCTGATTGCTTCCTATTGCTGTAGACTTCCTGTCTGAAGTAGGATGTTCTTAAACGTTGAAATGCTTAAATGCAGATCCACACGTGAACGCTTTGCTGGTGAGGTGTTTACTCAGCAATCTCTAAAGGCAGCATGGGACCATATCTGAATTTTTCTGTGCTTTGTGCATTCCTGTAGCATAAAATGCCCTCCCTCCACTGGACCAGAAACCTCTCTCCAAACCCATCAGTGGCAAGTATGGCAGTTAGTGCAGCTGAGCAGCAGTGCTAAATGCAAAACCAGGAATGAGTCCCTCTGCATCCAGCGTTAGAGAGCTGGAAAACCTGGTAGAACTGCACTGGAGAAACTGTGTAAAACCCACTTCTTGTCTAAATAATGAGCAGCAGAGCAGGAACTGGGCTCTTTGTGTCAGTTCTGCTGTAGATTTCCTGCATGGGAACAAAATGCTGTTGAACAAAGATTGAAGGAATGGGCTCCTGGAGTACTGCGGCCTCTTGGTTGTGTGTCTTGTGAGCTCCATTGCTTTGGGTTGAGAGCTTGAAAGCATTTCTGAGCATAAAACTTGAAAGGCAGACAGGCAGCTGCCAGCCAAGGCAGGGCTCAGCTCTTACAACAAGATGCTCGAGTGCACTCTGTGGGTTAGCAGTGCTGGTGGCTCGCTGCCACGATTCCGTGTTTATTGGGAAGGGCAGGGAAGGGAAGTGCTCCTACGTGCCCATCTCCACATCCCCTGCCCTGGGAGAGGGATTTGGCCGAGGGAAGCTGAGCTCTGACGCCATTCCTGGGGGGCAGAGGAAAGATGTGGAGATGTTTATTGGAGTCAGGCTGGTCCCACCTTCAGACGCTGGGATGAGTGCTGTCTGCAGCGCACAGTGGTGGCTGCTTTGAAATCCAGGCAAGCAAACAGGCTGTTTCCAGAGATGTTAGTGATTAAAAAGAGAAAGCTACATCCACAGGAAGTGTTTGTTTGCAGGCTGTCTTGTTTATCGCCTTGCTGAGGCTTCTCTCCTGCTGTCCCTTACCGTCGCTCCTGATTTCGAGAGCCGTGATTCTGCCTTTTTGTTTTTGAGACAGCAGAGCACTTCAAACGTGTGTTTTGGTAACGGTTCTTACAAATGCATTTATTCAAAATAAACACAGAGGGAAGCAGCAACTAAGCATCCTGTTGGGCAGCAGGTGCTCGGCTGTTTGTTGGGGGCTCAGATAGGGCAGTCCTGCAGCATGGCAGGGAGCTGGCTGAGTGCTGCATCTGTCAGCACCTTTCTGTGCACTGGGACTCCACAGCCTTCTTGAGGAGCCTTTTCTGCCTTAACCTTGCAAAAACAAACTCCTGCAAGACTTCTTTGAACGTTTAACGCTCAGGTCACTCAGCCTTTCCTCACAAAGAAGATGCTCCAGGCTCTTCATCACCTTTGTGGCCCTCCGCTGGACTCCTCATAGGAGATCCCTGTCTTGTTTCAGCTGGGGAGCCCAGAACTGGACACAGTATTCTAAACGTGGCCTCGCCAGGGCAGAGCAGAGGGGAGGGATCGCCTCCCTCAACTTGCTGGCCACACTCTTGAATTTCAATGCATCCCAGGATCCCACTGACCTTCTTGGCCACTGATATCTCGTGGCCAACCTGTTGGCCACCAGCTCACTGCGTGGGCAGCTCTGCATATGGTCTGGTGCTGCAAAACCAGGCTCAAACGAGCCCTGTGGCTCATTCCCAGAGTTGGCTGCTGTGGTTGGGTGAGGGGATGGGATCTGGGGGGTTTCAGAGATCCTTTCCCAAATGCAGCTTAACTCTGGGTTCCACTGCTGCATGATCAGATCCCATGGTTGCATCTCTGCTGCCCGCAGTGCCCAGCAGGCTGCCAGGGGTCCCCTGTGGAAAAGCAGCATTGCTGAACTCAGACATTGTGCATTACTGGGGAAGGAAAGTCAGAGCAGGTCCCTAATGCTGCTTTGTTATAAAGCACAGCTTTAGCAATAACATTAAGCTTTTGCATTAAATGCAAGGTTAGAGAGCTTTGGAAAGCTGGGGAGGCTTTTGTCTTTTAAGCACTCTGTTTATTTTGACAATTAGTTGGAGCTAAATTAAGATTGTTGGCTGCACCGATACGTAGGAAGGTGCCATCTTAACGCGTTCCTTAAGTTTGTGCTCTGTGGCAATGTTTGTGTGCTGAGGTTTGGGCTGGGGGATTGGGAGGCATATTGGATTATATGCTATTTGCTCTGCGTAAGCAGTGGCAATTTATTGCTGCAGATGCATGTGATGCAGTGCACAAAGATTAGTTCTATCCTCTCTAAAGCATGATTATTTTAGGGCCTCTTTATACCTTAAATAGATATTCCCCGCATGTGATTTCCATCTTTTTGTGTCAACAGCCCAGGCTAAAGTTGAAATAAACGTTGCATCAGCTTAATAACACAGCTCTGAAGAAATCTGCTCTCCATTATGGAGATTGTTTGGAAGCATTTTAGTCTTAAATTTTTCAGATGTTTGATGGTGCAACGCAGAGGTCTCATGAATCCCAAAGTGCTCTCAGGCTCTTTGGGTCTGCCTTGTGCTGGGCAGGGTGGTGTTTGTAAGTACAGCTCCGAGCACAGCAGTTGGTCCTATTTTTGCACTCCCCTTTTTAGATCATTTTGAGGTTCTGCAGCCTGTTTCAGGCTCATGTGGATGTGAGGAACACAGGTGGGTATGCAGCTCCTGATCTAACAACGGCTCCTGTTGGCTGGGTGGGCTCTGTGTCAAGCAGCAGATTTTCCCTTCCCATAGCAGCTGGGCAGGGGGATGCTGTGAGTGCTCTGAGCCCCTGTGGGCCGTGTGGGATTTTTGCATGGCTTGGTAGGAGGAAGAACATCTCATCACGTGTGTGTCCTCATCTGCTCCACGTCCAGGCACTGTGCAGGAGGGGAAGGGGACTCATGAAGGAGTGAACCTCGGGACAGCCATGTGGGCTCTGCTTCCCCTTTGCCTTGTTCCCAGATTTTAACCATTCTTGCTTGCCCAGCTGTAGATGTGATGCCAGGGCATTAGCCAACGTTGTCCAAGTGGTGAAGGATGCATGGGCGAGCAGCCATAGAGCTGTTTTCTGTCAAAACAAGCAGAATGAGTTATTTGTTGCCTTAATTTGTAGACTGGAATCAGCAAGGCAGGGCGGTCATGTCCTGTCCCCAGAGGTGTTCAAGGCCAGGTTGGATGGGGCCCTGGGCAGCCTGGGCTGGTATGAAATGTGGAGGTTGGTGGCCCTGTGTGTGGCAGGGGATTGGAGATTCGTTGTCCTTGAGGTCCCTTCCAACCCTGGCCATTCTGTGATTCTGTGTCTGCTTGTGCGTGGAGCCGCTCGGCCCTCCTACCCGCAGTGTTTGACCTCTCACACCTCTCTTACAGCACCACCATGACAACAGAGAAGAGCCCAGCGGCAGACCCCGAAAACTCAGAGCGGCAGCAGGCGAAGGAGGAGGAAGGGGCTGCCAACACACAGAAGCAGGAGGCGTCCCCAGAGCAGGGGTCGGGGCCCAAGCAGAAGGCATCCAACGGCAACACACCCACGGCTGAGGAGCAGGGCCGGAAGGAGCGCCGTGCCTCTGAGGGCCGGGGTCTGTCCCGCCTCTTCTCCTCCTTTCTCAGGAGGCCCAAGTCCCAGGTGTCTGAGGAGGACAGAGACACTGATGTGCCCAAGGAGGGCGGAGGAGACCAGAAGGACTCGGGGGTAGGAGCCAACCCTGACGAGGAGGAGGAGATCCTGGTGAAGGCCCCGATTGCGGCTCCCGAACCGGAGCTGAAGACAGATCCATCTCTTGACCTCCACTCCTTAAGCAGTGCAGAAACGCAGGTAAAGCACTCCGCTCGGCCTGGCAGCGTGTGTGCTTAGGCAGAGTTATAGAACAATTCTTATCCATTGATAGTAAGCTAGAGAAGAAAAACCCCTGGGATGCTGCAAAGTCTCTTTGTCATCTCCATGTATTGCAGAGCTTGCTCCGCTATCAAACCATACTGCCAACCACCTGAGATTGTACTCACTCTTCAAAGCATATCTTAAAACACCCTGCACTGGCTCAGTGCTCTGCTGAGGCGTGGAAATACCCTCAAGAATTTGGGTTTGAATTCATCGTTCTCAGCAGAGCAGTTTCTCATTTGGATGCCCTTGGTGTGTGCAGAATAAAGGCAGGTTAATGGTACAAGGAGGCAACTGCAAGAGAATGTGAACCTGTGGGAGGGTTTCTTGGACTCCAGGAGGTGTAACTGTGGCATTTCAGGTCTTTGTCATCTCTTCAATCTGGGCTGTTGCTGCAGTTGCCAAATACAAGTGTTTTCTATAAAAGCATCATGTAGATAGAGGTTTCTGCACAGCACATGTGCTGATCCCAGCTCCTAGCAGCTAAAGCATGGTAGGAACCGAGGGAGAGATAGCCACAATGAGACATTCACTAAGCAGCAGCTCATTTAGGCTGTCAGTTGGCCTCTCTTACTCCCTGGTGGGATCTTGGGGGGGTATAGCCCTGTGGGCACCAGTCTAGCTGCCTGGAGTTACAGAAAGGCAGGGACCACAGCTCCTGGGACCTCCTAAAGCCCAACCAACCTGTGTGTGTCAATGGAGACAGCAAGTTAATGGTAAAATCTGAACTATGTGCACTGCTGCTGTTGGGTTTTGAGTGGTGTGCAGTGATGTGTGACGTTTGAACTGCAAACTCTGGGTTTTTAGAGACTTTTTGAGAAATGCTGTCTGAGTTGGAATGTTCCCAGCCGTAGGCAGTAGTTGTAAATCCAACTCCTTAAGTTTACAGCGTTGCAAAGAAGGCAGCAGGTAACGTGGTTTTATTTTTCCAAATTCCTGAGCTTGTAAAAAATACAGGATGATCCCTGTTAGAGCTTTGTAATTACCAGGGCTGGGACATGCTGGGCAGCTGGAGGTTTACATTCAGTTTCAGCCCTGAAGTTGCCTTTTTGGGAGGAAATGCATGATTTCTTTCTCTGTTTAACTTCGCTTTGCACGTGAGTGTGCGCAGAGAGCAAACCCACAGCCTTCCTTCAGCAAGCGCCGTTGCAGACGAAGCATTCAGGGCTCTTTTCTTTTTTTTAGTTCTTATTTCAGATTGACGTTGGTGGCTTTTTCAACTGTGACACTCTGCAGATATTTCTGCCGTGAAAGCATTTGTGCGAGGTGCTGCCTGTTTGATAAATGCTGACCGACGGGCATTACGAGCTTTGATTCTCTGCTCCCTATTATCCCAGCCCTGCTGGGACAGAAGTCAGCGGCTTGTGGACGTTATTGAGTTCCTAAATACCACAGCCAGCAGTGCCTGCATGCAGCTGTGCCTAGCTGTGATTTCATGAGAGGCGATGGGCTGAATTAACAGCTCACCACCAGCTCAAACCAGCGTTTGGCTTTCCCTTCCTCTGCCACATTGGGGCACTTCCAGCACTTGTTCGAGCCTGCTGTGGACTCATTTAACCTGCTGAAATGGCTGTTTAAGAAAAAAATCACCACTTCCTTCCTTCTTCTGTTCCCAAACTGTGTTGTTTTCTGCTACTTGAGTGAGTTAAGCTGGCTCCTGAAGTGCTTCAGTGGGCAAAGGGAGAGGTTGTCAGGGCCGAAAGGTGACTTCCCCTTTTGGTGACCTGAAAATTGGCACGATCTAACCTGCCCCAATTTCTCTAATCAACCCCTTTTTGGTTTTTTTTTTTTGCATCATTTATTAAATGAAGAGAATGACTTGAAGCACTGTGCAGATTACCATTGCTCAGTGTGCTTATTGCACTCCTTTGTGGGTTATGCATCTGGGCTGATAACAAACGTTGGGGTGCAGTGCTTGTTTCATGGGCTGGGTTTTTGTTTGCCCCATCTAACTGGCTGTGTGGATGTGCTGGGGTTTTCAGCCTGCGCAGGAGGAGAGGAGGGAAGAGCAGGAATCGGACAGCAAAGACCTCGAGGGCAAGGAAGGAGGTGAAGGGAAGGAGGAGAACGCTGAGGCAGAGCTGAAGCCAGAGGCTGCAGAGCCCAAAGCAGACAAGGATCTGAAAGCTGCCCAGAGATCCATAAGAAGACACAGAAACATGTACTGCAAAGTTGTCTTGCTGGATGACACCATATTTGAGTGTTCTGTGGATGTAAGTACATGCAGAGTTTGTTTCTTCTCTTTTCACTTCTCCAACTACCACCACCACTATTTAATGGGGATCTAATTTGCTGCCAGTGATTTACACAACAGCCTTTACTGCACAGCCATCTTGCTGTAAGCTGCCATAACTTATTCAGTGTGTTGTGAAAATCTCTGCATTTCACCCCAGCAGTTGGTCTTGTTTCTTGTTCTGTGATTTCCAGGCACCTTGTTTTTAAAGGTGGGTGGAAGTTTAGAAGAATGTTACCCCTCTTGCTGCTCATCTTCTCTCTCATTTTCATACCAGACGAGAGTTGGGTTTATTGTGCCGTGTTGGGATTGTCTAAATATCTTCTGCCTCTTTCATCTGAATAAAATGTGTTGTCATGTTAATCTGTGCTTTTCTGTTCACCCACAGTGCCTTTGACTGTCAGGCTGCTGGCCATCTCCCGTAGCTTGGATGTAAAGAAAAACAAGCTGCGTTTAGCTCAGGGTTTGAATATGTTTGCAGTAAACAATTTAAAATTATTATGTTGACTTACAGCACTGCAAAGGGCTTTTATTCTGCTTTATTTTGTGCGTTCTCTCGCTGGGCTGCCTTGCTGTCAGGGCAATAAAAAGCGAGCAGAAATGCCTATTTCAGTATTGAAGTGCTTGCCCAGAATATTAATAATCGGGCACTCACCACACATCCACCAGCTTGTTTTCCTCATCCCACTAGCTAAAAGGTATCTGGGCACAGGGCTTCTTGTGGGAGCGTCACCTCGGGTGATCCTGGGCAAGTAGGTCAGTGCTGGCAGTTTGTGTAACAGCACAGCCGTTGTTGCTGAGCAGGATCAGCACTGAGCCTTGCTGCAGCACTGGGTGTTTGTTGGGGATTTCATGTGTAGCCCCCCAAAAAAGCCAGCTGCTGCCTGCCAGGGTGGTGCTGGCAGCCCCTCTGCTGTGCTGGTCTGGCACAGCCATCCTGCATGTGCACAGCATGGCAGTGGGCTCAGAGCAGCAGAGAGGCAGCGGCTGCTATCGATGAGCAGCTCTTAACTGCACGAGTACCCTTGGCTTCGATGCCAGTATCATCTTATAGAGGGCTGGAGCATCTCTCCTTCGAAGACAGCAGGCTGAGGGAGCTGGGCTTGTTTGGAGAACACTCTGGGGAGACCTCATTGCAGCATTTGGGTACTTAAAGGGAGCTTATAATGAGGGAAGAGACCATTTGCACAGGCAGACAGTGATAGGACAAGGAGAAATGGCTTTTGACTAAAAGAGGGGAGATTTGGCTTAGATGGGAGGATAAATTCTTTATCCACAGGCAGTGGTGCCCTGAGCCTGTGGTGCTCCATCTCTGGAGCTGCTCGGTGCTGGGTTGGATGGGCTCTGCTCAGCCTGAGCTTTTGGGGGGCAGCCAGCCCATGGCAGGGGTTGGGATGGGGGGCTGTAAAGTGCCTTCCAACCCAACCATTCTGCAATTCTAATCTAGAATTTTGAGAATTCAGGTCTTAATTAAGAAGGATTTGCAAAAGTGTAGGCAAAGACCAGCACCAGTGCCTTTATTCAAAGAGAATAAGTGCTTTCAGACGATCCTTCCAGCTGACAGCCATAGAAAGCTTTTAATTCCTACATGTCTTCAAGTGCCAGTTCCTTGAGAAATATCCCAGGCTAACGCATGAAGTGCATTAGCTGTAGAGCTGCAGCGTGTGCTAACAGCCTCACAGGGCTGGAATAAAACACGGCTGTGGGCTTTGATCAATTGCCATGCAAATATGGCTAAAAGGAGAGATGCCAGCACAAGTGATGCATTAGTAAAGCTTATTTGGCGTCACTGGAACTGCACTTCTTTTACCAAACCCTCCAATAGAATTCGCTGCTTTTGGTTACCATAGTTTTGTGCCTTTAGGGATGTTTTTCTTCATGCTTTGGACTAAAAGGGTATCAGTTCCTAGGGCCAGCTCATTCACATCACTTCTGCAGGATTTTGGAAAAAGAAAAGAAGAAGGAGTAGATGGAGATACTCAGAGAGTATTTCTGGAGGCAAGAAGTTGAGTGCTGAGCAGCTTTCAGTGTATAAGGCAAAAATAGGGAAGCTAGGTTTAATCAGCAGATGGGGTTGGGGAAATGGCTGTGGAAATGATGGCCTTTTGTTCTGAGCCCCTGGGTCTTTCATGAAGCTGCTGGGCCTCCAAAGGGGGGCTGTCATGGAGGGCTGCAGCAGCTTCATGTCTCACATTGGCTGTCGTTTAATCAGCACTTGGTTAATCAGCACTGAGAACCTGATTTCAAGCTAGTTGACGGTTTTCACCTTTCTTTGTAGTGTCTACTGCTTGATTCTGTTGCTGTTCTGCAGACAAAAAGCAGCCTATCCTCTGGAATCTCTTCTGTGTCTTTGCAGAAACATGCCAAGGGGCAGGATCTACTTAAGAAAGTCTGTGACCACCTTAATCTCCTGGAAGAAGACTATTTTGGTTTGGCCATATGGGACATGCCAACCTCTAGGGTAAGAAGATGCTCTTTTATGGGTGGATTCAGCTCTGTGCAAAGCTGTCCTCCGTGGAGATGGCGATGCATAAGTTGCTGATGCTCTTCTTAAAACTACTTTTGATCTCCTCACTGAGAAAGGACTAAAAGGGCTTTTTGTATTGCGACTTGAAGGGGAGGTTAGCTCCCTTAGGTGATGTGAGATGGACCTGAATGCTGACACGCTGCAGGGGCACTTCAGTCCTTGAGCCTGTGTTCATGGAAGGCACACAGCTGTCAGCAGGAGAACCACTGCTATGCTTTGGGCACGGAGGAGTCATTGCATGGAGGTTTACTTAAAGTAGGGGCTGTGGTGCTCAGGGAGGCTTTGGGTTTGCTTTCCTGTTCCTCTGACTCGTGACTCCCCTTCCTCTTGTTTCAGTAACAAATCCTGGGCTTTGAATTCATGCTGGATTTATTTTACCCATGGTGTCCTCCTCCTCCAGAGCAGTGCCAGCAAATGTAGCCGTTCTTACTAACGAGTGGTTCAGTGCATTCTTTGAACAATAACACTGAGCTGTGCTGGTAGCTTTATCACCTTTGTGATGGGAACACGGGCAGGGAAGTGGGAGTGAATCAAGGCTTAAAATGTGCAGCGGGTGAGCTTGTAGCAGCTGCTGGCTCCCAGCACAGATTCAGCTTCTGCTACCTACGTGCCAGCCTAAAACACAGCCTTGGTGGTGCCTGAGAGGATTCCTGGCTAAGATTTGAGGCTTGGGATCTTTATGTTTGTTTTTTTAATTGTTTCAGTATATTTCCAGCAGGAAGTCACAAATCCCTAAAAGCTGTTAGGAGTTTCAGCAGCAGAGTGTATGTATGTCCCTTTTCCATGAGTATTGTGCCTTTGAAAAGGGAAAACATGGCTGGGTTACGGAGCACCAGCTGCTGCCTTGGCACTGCTGTCAGCATTTGGTGGGTTTGAATTGAGGCCTTTTCATACCAAAAATTCTTACTCAAATGGTTTTGGTTTAAGGTCTCTGGTTGGTTGGACCAGAGCAGTGCCTTATCTTTTAAACCCCTGGTTACACTTTAACTTGAGCAATTACTCAAACTCTGTTTGATGAAGCTAGCCAAAAGCGTTCCACATTGAAAACAAGGGGCCGCTTTTATGTCCTTCAGACCAGTTTTGTCAGTCCACACTCTGGCTGCTCCCTTGCTTCACCTATAGCTTCCATGTTGGGCCACTTTCCAACGGCCACAGGATATATTTGTTGTTAAAGGACTAAATAATTGAAAGTGTGTATTTTTGATACGCAGGCGAAACAAAGCTCTGTTTGTGCCACAGGCAGCAAGCTGCCCTGCTGGCTTTGGGTGCTGCCTGACCTGAGCTCAGGGGTTTTTTAACCATAGAGACAGAAAACAGATAGCTGTGTCAGATCAGTGTGTCAGGGCTGAGAGTGCAGGAAGGTAAAGTTGCTGTAGTGCAGAGGAAGCTGCTCTCTTGAAGCCTGGTTTGTCCTGATGGGGGACCTGGCACCAGGTGACTGATTCACTGCTAGAACTGATCTCAATGGGAAGTCTGGAGCTGTGCTTCTTCACCTCCTGGCAACTTGCAGAGCAGCAGGGAGATGCAGGCCTCTGATCAAGGGCAGTCAGAAGGCCGTGTGCAGGGTCTCCCATACATAGGCAAGAAACCTTCCTGGTGATGGATATTTTCAGAGTAGGAATTACAGAGGGTACAGGTGGACAGGGCACTGCTTAGCACCAAAGCAGCCCCAATGCCAGTGTATACATAGGGGTGCTCTGCTTAAAACAGCAGGTGTAAAGAGAAAACAAGTGCAGGAGCAGCATGCCTATTTCTCAGATGGATTTCCTATCCCTAGCTTAGGTTAGGGAGGCCAGCATGTAAAAGGGTAAGATTACACATAGGCATTGCTGTCTCCCTGCCACAAAGCTAACAGTCTTTCTAGTCAAGAGAAATTGCTGCAGGGGGTTGCAGTGTGTCGTTCTTGCACCTCAGGAGATCCAGATGTGCAAATCTTCCTCAGTCCTCAGCACTGCAAAGAGCCAGGAGTGCTGGGAGCTGCTCCCACTGTGCTTGGCAAAAGCAGGAGTGTTGTTCTGAGCCTTCTGTTGCACCATCATCCCACAAAACCCCAAATTACTGGGGGGGGGAAGGATATATTTCTAAATTTGTAGCTGAGATAATTACTAGAAACTTGAGTCATACTTTAAAGAGACTGAGTTTATGTCACGTTTTCCAGCTGCTGGATGTTTTCTCTCCCATTTTAGTGATTAGGTCATTAAAGAACACAGCTAATAATAGAAGGTCTTTCCATCTTTGTTCTCAGGAGGGTAAGTATGCAGATAAGGGGCATAACAAGAAGGCAGACACACAGTTTGTCTGTTTCCAAAGGTCTTTGAGGAAAAATGTGTTGCACAAGGGCTCCCCTTGGCAGGGCTTGCCTGAGACCATACCTGCTGGGATGCGGTTGCAGCCTTTTCTAATATGCTGCTTTTAAAAAAGACAGTGAAAATAGGATCTGACAGTGCAGGATGTGCTGTGCTGAGTTCCCTCAGATGCTGCTGCCGTGTTTTCGGGAGCCAGCATAAATTCATTCATTTAAACCCTTTTCTGTAAAGGCTGCCTGCATGGTGTAGGCTGCTCATCAGCTGTGTGTGCTGAGCCTCTGAGGTGATGGGGTCATCTCACAGGAGACAGAACAGCTTCATATTGGAAACTGTTCATTCATATTCGTTGTCGGATTGGAAATTCACATGCTGAGGCTTCAGGCTGGAGTAAAACTTCTGAAACATGCTCTCCATCTTCAGTTTCCATGGTTGCAGCCGTGCCTGGTTTTTGCTGTGCTGTTCATGACTTGCAGTTTGCTGTGGTGTTTCTGTAACGTCTGTTATATTGTGAATGCTTTTATTCCCTTACAGACGTGGCTGGATCCTACCAAAGAAATAAAAAAACAAGTTCATGGTAAGTGGATGGGATTTATCAGGTGGCTGTGTGTTATCCTCTCCCCTTCCTTGCACACGTGTGGCTTTGGCGTGTGGCCCTGAGTGCTGGGCAGGTGCTTGGGCAGGATCAGCACGAGTTCAAGCCATCTGTGCTTTCTTTCTCTTCTTCTTAAGTATTTAGTTATGCTCTACATGGAGGAAAAGTGTCATTTCCTTGCGAAAACATAGCTTGGAGTGTGTTTGCCCTGTGCAAGCCATGCTCTCCTTACTACTACTAAATAGGGTGGAGAGGGAGATGTCAACAGTTGCCACGTAAAATCTAAGAGGCGGCTGTTGGAGCTGAGCCCAACTGCGTGCTGGAGTGAAGCAATGTGGGCTCCAAGGTGGTTTTAGGGTCCAAATAGGGATACTGGAATGATAAACAAGGCCTCAAGCAGGATCAGCACAAATGCCACGTGCTTTCTGAAAGGTTTTAAGCTCTTCTAGCGCCCAGTTCATTCAAGATGAGGGCAGTGTCAAAGTTAAGTAAACTTGTGAGGCTTTTGTTTTCTTTCAGGGGCAGCATAGGGTGTGACTGCTTCACGAGTAAACGCTGTTCTGTGGGTGTGCTTGGGGGGCACAGAATGAATTGTATCACTGCATGACTGAGGTTTTCATCTATCTTAGCAAGTTAGCAGCAAGCACGTATTGCAGCAAAGTGTTTTTTGGAACTACGGTGCTAAAAGGCACAGGAGAAGGGAATTCCAGGGTTGCTCTGGGTTGTGATCAGGAGATGCATTGCGTGTGCATTGGGCTGCACACACAGGTGACCTGCTCAGCTGTGTCACTGAGCCAGGCAGGCTAATTGTACCACAAGTAATGCCACTTCTCAACACAATTACAGGGGTCCTCGCTGTAATGTGTGCAGCAGTGCTGTTTGCAGCAAGCTTTATTGCCACAGCTGGCTCTTGAGTTGTAAAGCTCTTCTTGCCTTGGTGCTTGCTGCTCCTTCCAGATTGATGCCTGTGCTGTGTTGAAGTGTGCTCTGCCCACATGGCCGCAGCACATGAGGCTGCTGAGTGAATTAGCACATCTGCTCCTTATGAGACATTTGAAAATTGGATTGAGTGATGAAGCACTAATTCATTAACCTACAGCACGTCTGACCTCTCTTCATGAATCTGTTTTTTTTTTTTATCAGTGAAGTATTTGAGTAATTTAGCCTCTTGGGATCGAATTTAATTGTTTTTTTCCACCAGTTGTGGCATCTTTCACATGTATTCATCTGCCCTGCTTTGTTTTCTCTTGTGTGTATCGTAGCTCTTGTAAATGGGATTGTATCTTTTGCCATCTGCCTCAGCAGCAGTGAGCTGTGTGAGCAGCAGTATGGAGCTCATGTTTGGGTCCGATAGCTGGCTGTTGCAAAGCTCTTCTGCTGGGTTCATTTTTCTAAAACTTCTCTTTGTATTTTCAGGAGGCCCCTGGGATTTTACTTTCAATGTCAAGTTTTATCCTCCGGATCCTGCTCAGCTGACAGAGGATATAACGAGGTGAGTGCCCCATTCATCTTGCTAGCAGAAAGCTTGCTGAGCAGTGCTGGGAGCACCTTCAGGAAGCTGCTGGAATCAGATTAGCAGTGGATGGATGGATGCCCCATCCCTGGAGGTGTTCAAGACCAGGTTGGATGGAGCCCTGGGCAGGCTGCTCTTGTACCAGATCTGGAGGTTGGTGGCCCTGCCTGTGGCAGAGGTTGGAACTTAGTGATCCTTAGAGTGCCTTCCAACCCAAGCCATTCTGTGATTATAAGATCCCATGGTCCTCTGAAACAGAAGTTTCTAATACTGAAGCATCGCTCCATCCTTGAGGACATCCTGAAGAACTGTTTGGGGGGGTTCTGTTTGTTTGGATTGGATGTTTGTGTGTCTGGGAATGCTTCCTCCCTTCACCAAAGTGCGCGTGCTGATAGCAGTGTCTTTACAGTCATGTTTTTGTATGGGAAAATGCACTTTTCTTTTAAAAGAAACTTTTCTGATGATAGAAAGCATCCTCTGTTCTTTTCCCGGAGTGGAGGTGGCCTGAAATCCTCTTGTCTTCCAGCTGTGGAGTGCTGTGACGATCATCCCATAATTAAAAATACACATGAGAAAAAACACTCTGCTTAATTCATAGTGCTGCCAAATAATGACTTGGTTCAGTGCTCTGGAGCAGATTTCCTCGGGTCTCTGCGGTCTCTGTAAATAGCATTGGTTTTTTTTCTGCCAAAGGTATTACTTGTGTCTTCAGCTTCGACAAGACATCATCTCAGGGCGGCTGCCTTGTTCCTTTGCCACTTTGGCTCTGCTGGGTTCCTACACAGTGCAGTCTGAGCTGGGTGACTACGATCCTGACCTACACAGCACAGATTACATCACTGAATTCAAACTGGCTCCAAACCAGACCAAAGAGCTTGAAGAGAAGGTTGTGGAACTTCATAAAACGTACAGGTAAAGAGCACTGGCACCTAAGAACTGGCTTTTTAGATTGCTCTTTTTTGACACGTGCCTCATATGAGTGCTCCTTTTCAACAATATCGCTGTAAAAGTGGGTTTTATTTCATATAAAAGCACAGATTTCGTTGCTGTAACCTTGTTGTTTCTCTTTTCATGTGTTTGTTTTTGGATTTACACAAGTTTTGGGCCGTGATCTGGTTGGAACAGATCCCAGGTCGTTATGTATGTGCTGTAGTCTGCAGCATGCTTGGAGTTTTCTGCTGCCACACATAACAAGTAATGTGTTATGGTGTGGAATCATTCCAGTTAATGCTTGAGGGACAAAAATGCATTATGCTGTCATCGTGTCCACAAATGCATAGTGACCGGGCAGATGTGTGTTGTTCTGGTGGGGCTGGAGGGCTCTGATGTCCGATCTGAGGGTCACAGTGGCAGACCCTCCTCCTCATCTCATCTTGACCTTATTTTCGTAGATGCTCTCAAGTGCTTTGGTTGCAAAATCTCCATGGAGCGGTGTGCTCCCAGGGGGGTGACATGGAGAGCATCCATAGCTGCACAGTTCCAGTGATACTTTTGGATTTTTGAGGGGAAAAAGCCCATAAAAGTGCTCCAAGGTACCAAGGTGTTGTGGAGGTGTTGCACTAGCAGCCCTCTGAGCTGTGGGAAGCTGCTGGCTTTGATGCACTGATGGTTGAGAGCAGAGCACATGGAAACCAATAACCAAAGTGCAGCCATGGGGGTGGGCATAGGGCCCTGGCTATCACCAGAGCCATGATGAATGCCTCACTCAACCATGCAAATCAATACTTGATCTTGATTCCCCTCCATTTGCTCTAAGAGGAAAGAGGGACAATAAGTACTGGGCCACTGATAGGCTTCATGACTGGGAGTCAAAGGCCGTCGGCTGCGCCAGAAGCAGCAGATCACATTGCTGAATTATTCATGCCTTTGTTACAAGATTACTTGGCTGTGTGGGACATAGATTTGTTTTAAATGCACTCGTGTGTGCAGTAGGAAGTATGTAATATGTGTGCATCTCATCTCTGGTCCGTGTTCTGTGAACTGTCAGAGGGTTTCCAGTGGAAAAGCTCCATCTCTCACTGCTTTATTTGGAGAGCAAAGGTGTGGGTTGGAAACAGTCACTGCTCTCAGGTCCTGTGCAGGACACTGTCCTTGCAGTGCTCTTTGTCCTACACACTACTACCATTTACATTGCACAATGCATGGATGTGTGTGCTCAGCAAGAAAGACATCAGAGCTGTGAACAAAATGAACAAAATGGAGTGTTTGCAACTGAATACTCTTCCAGCTGAGCTGCTGAATGTACCTTGCTCCACTGAAACTTATTAACAGGGGCACTTCAGTAACGTTGATAATAGCCTCCATTATCAGGATGTTGCTGTTAAGCAAAGTTCTGTTGTGTTGCCTTTCCTGCAGATGGTACCATCTGTTCCCAGAAAATGTCTCATTCATCTCGTCTGCCCCATCAGGAATATCTGCCACGTGGTTTCAGCTGTCCTCAAACAATGCTGGGTTTGGGAAGGTCTCAGGCCGTGTGCTCACCATGCACAGTACCTGTCACTCCTTGCCTTCAGCTGAATTGGAGCGTTCTCCACCTCGAGTTTTGAACCCTGTGCCACACTTTTTTCACAGATCAATTACTTTCTAGTCTGGTGTCAGTAGCGCTCAACTGAAGAACGATGCTTCTGTTTTATGAGGGTGTCTCAGAATGCAAACTTGTGCATTCAGAGCAACTTAGTAGTTCATCATCTGGGCACAGAGTTGGTTGTGCTCAAAGCAGAAGATCTAACAAGTAAATGGTTGTAAATGGTTTTGTAAGATCTAATGTGTCTCCTCATAAAAGCAGCATTTATGGAAATGCCAAACCCTTTCTCTCTTTCTCCAGATCCATGACTCCAGCCCAAGCAGACCTGGAATTCCTTGAGAATGCAAAGAAGCTGTCTATGTATGGAGTTGACCTTCACCACGCCAAGGTGAGAATCAGTGGGAGGTGTGGTGATTAATTAAGAGCTTCAGGGAAAGACTAAAGGAGTAATTTGGAGGACACCCTGGAACCCAGTACAGCTCTGACTCTGGTCTCTGCTTAAATGTACTTTCTCAGGACTTGGAAGGGGTGGATATCACTCTGGGAGTCTGTTCCAGTGGCCTTCTTGTTTACAAAGATAAGCTGAGAATCAACCGCTTCCCTTGGCCCAAAGTCCTGAAGATTTCCTACAAACGCAGCAGCTTCTTTATTAAGATTCGCCCAGGGGAGGTATGTTATGGCTCCTTGGGGGGGTTTTGTTAAATTAGCTTCTAATATCTTTGGGAAGGAAGCGAGCTTCCTACTGAGTTGGCATTTTATACCCTTGTGCTTCTGATATTGGCTTGACCCTAAGTTCAGCTCTTCAAGCAGAGCCCAGTGACCTTGCTGAAGTGCTGAGAGAGACAAGGAAAACTTTAGTGTGTCATCCAGCACCACCTCCTGGCACAGTCTGGTATTCTCACATCCAGGCTGAAAGCAATTCACAGCTGAAATTGTTCGAGAGCCTCCTCCTTTTCTGGAAATGTGGCAAAATATGGGGCAGATGGTTACTGTTCTCACACCTGAGCTCCTCCTGCACATCCGTGGAGTGAGCTTAGTGCTCCTGGGCAGGGCAGGTAGATGGGCTGGAGCTGCACTTCTGTAACAGTTGCTTCTTGCCAAACCTAAATCACTTATGTTTCCAACAGCAAGAGCAGTATGAAAGTACAATTGGATTCAAGCTACCAAGTTACCGGGCAGCAAAGAAGCTGTGGAAAGTATGTGTTGAACATCACACATTTTTCAGGTGAGTTTCCTAAATGATAGGCTCCCTTTGACTGATTAATGCTGAAGATGAGGGGCTGAAGATGAGCACACCTTCAGCATTCCTTAGGTTCCAACAAAAATCAGAGTGAAACGATTGCAGGGAAATGAAATGCTTATATTGCAGTACATTTCCATGCAGCTTCCGTGCGAGGTTTTCTTTCTCATGTAGATGTGTGTCGCTTCCTGGATCCAGAGTCGTGCTTTGAACTTGCATGTCTGCTTTCCAGGCTGACTTCCACTGAGGCCATCCCCAAGAGCAGATTCCTGGCTCTGGGCTCCAAGTTCCGTTACAGTGGGCGGACGCAGGCGCAGACCAGGCAGGCGAGTGCCATGATTGACAGACCTGCACCCCAGTTTGAGCGCACAGCGAGCAAGAGAGCCTCCAGGAGCCTCGATGGAGGTTAGTGGGCAGCTCTGCTTTGTGCCCCTGCAGCATCCTGCCTGGGTTCAGCTCGTTGGCTGTGTCTGATTTTGCTTTGATTTGGTGAGCTTAGGGTTTTGATCCCTTTGAAAACTTCTGAGTATTCCCTGAATGCTATTAGAATTTGCTTCTTTGTGAAAAAGCAACTTATTTAACTTCTCACTTCAATGCAAGACCTGGGTGTAAAAGATAAACCCTACAGCAGTGTCACCAAGAACTGACTGTCAAAAACCAACTGTGGGTGTTGGTGCTGAAGGCTCCTTGCAAAGTTCTGGTGTAACCACATTCAGCCTCAGGACATATTCCTTTTGGGAGATGAAGAATTGTAGGATGTTGGTGTATTACAGGGTGGGGTTGAAACTAGATGGTCATTATGATCCTTTTCAACCTAGGCCATTCTATGATTCTGTGTTTATTTAATGTAGATTCTTAAGTTACATTGCTTTCCTTGAGGGGGAGAGATATGCCACTAGTGCTTGAATCTTGGTCAGTGTCTGCTAAGGGGATGGTAATACTGAAGTTTGTGGCACATCCATCAGAAGGGCTCTTTCCTGGCGATTTTAAAAGGTCCTGATAACAGCAGACAGAGCACGAGAGGTGAAGTGTGAAAAGGGGAGTGGTGAGAGTCCTGGATCTGAGTCAGTGGGTGCTTGTAAAATTAGGACTCCAGCTGCAGTGCTGTAACCCAGTGTCAGGGCATGGAAAGAGCATCCTGTGAACGTAACGCTTCCATCCCCATTGAGGTCTGCTGCCTTTTTCCATCTGCTGTGTGGGCAGTTGTTAACATGTGCACCATTTCTTCAGCTAAACGTGCGACTCAAAAAGTTGAGTTCAGAGCCGTAGAGGAAGAGAAGCAGGAGGAGGTGGTGGTGGTTGAGGTTCCCGAACCAAAACCCGTGGATCAGTTCCGAGAGAAGCCAGGTATAGCTGTGGTGGCTACAACTCTCTGCAGTGCGTTTGCTGTCCTTTCCCCACTCAGATGCCTTTACATGCTTGTTCCTGACAGCTCTGACCAGTTTCACTGAGCCTGGCGGCTTGCTTTCTTGCTTCTTTTCAAGGAGAGTTTTGCAGATGGAGGACAGGCAGCCTGGAGGAGCCCCAGTTCTCATTCAGTTCCTGCTTTGCACCCCGCTAGGCAGCAACCTGGGGAGGTGGGGAAGCAGGCAGGATGGCTGGCACTTCAGAACTGTCTCCTTATTAAATTTGGGTGTGTTTTAAAATATGGATTAGAAAACTCTCCAAGTTCTTTTCCTGTGGTCATCATACTTTTTATAAAGCTTCTGGAAGACTTCATTCATGGAACAGCTTGCAGTTTTTTTTGAGCCTGTTTTGGTGGTGTGAGGAATGCCTTGCATTTTAGTACATGGAGCCTAGATTTCTCTTTATTGCTAATAAATATTAACATCCTCTTACGTATATTTAAATACTACTGATGATGGCAGCAGTGGTGATGTCAGATGTTGACTTTCTTCTTCACTTAAATAGGCAGTGCTTGCAGTACATTACGACTGAGCATAATTCATATGCATTGTGTGCTGTTCCATTTCCCTTCTTCTACCGTGCATTTCTACAGTGAGTGCTTGACATCACTCCTTTTCAGGTCTGAAATCCAGCTCAAGGTTTCACAAAGTGACGTGGCAGATTTCCCCCCCTGTTGCTATCTCCCCTCTGTTCCTGCAGTCAGCACAGCGCTCTGCTATAAGAGCAGAAGATGGAGTTAGCATGTAGCACAGCAGGATGGATGATGGATGTTCTTACAGAGTGCTCGAGAATAGTTTTCATGTCTCCCCCAAAGTGCTGTCGATGGGAAAGAACCCAAAGAGCTGATTAGTTTTGGTTTTAACTCTTCCCCAGTATCCTGTTGGGACTGTCAGATCTAGAAGGACTGACAGGCAGCTGCAGCGTGGAAAATCATTGCTGAGTGATGTTGGTTTAGAAACTCTGCTGTTCTGAGGCTGCCTTGGCGAGGAACCTGCACTCCCTGTCTCTGTGCTGCCGTGTGCCCGTGGGTGCCCAAATGCTCCATTAATGCATGCAAACCTCTTTCTAGCCAAGCACGCGCTTGAAAGTTTTGAAATGAAACCCATTGCAGAGGAGGAAGAGGAGGAGGAGGAGAAGGTAGAGGTGGCTCAGGTTCCCATTGCTGAGCCAAAGCTGCCGGACCTGGTGCAGCAGCAGTCAGGTATCGCCACGGCTGTGCATGGCACCTCAGGTGCCCACTGCAGTCACCTGTGCTGGGGATGCTGGGTTGCAGTGGTGCTGCAGGGCAGGCTGCCTTGTTTGCAGTGGTGTTCATCGCTGGTGAAATCACCGCCAGCTTTGCCAGCGTGTTGCTGTGTGAGTGGAGTGCCTTGACGTGGCTTGGCTGTGTGCTGCTGCAGTGGAACTAATGCCAGCTGGGTGTGACAGCCTTCTAACACTTCTGTGCCGCTGTGCCTTTCTGTAGGATTAGTTTCTGTGGGCAGTGTGCCGTGCCTCAGACCTGGAGGTGTTCTCTGGGCCCGTGGAGGTCACCTCTCCCTCTTCTTGACACTTTTGCTCCCAGTAGATACCGTCTGCTTGGCCAAGGTGGTGATGATTGCTGTTTTAAACCTTGGATTTTGGAGGAGCATTTTTGATTGCGTTTAAATCTAGAATAGTATATCAAAATAGTTAAAAGGTCATTAATTGAGCAAACCTGAAATACCACAGTTCAGGATGGAATGCAGCCTCATCACTGAGAGGCAGAGGAAGAGCTCAGTGTCTTTTTGTCATTTTTTGCTGTGTGTCCTGGAGCTCTGAGGCACTGTGCGAGGAGCACCAGTCCTTAAGGAGAGCTGGCCTTGTAGCTTTACAGGTGGCACTGCTTCCTTTTCTGTTTAATCTTTGAGGTGGCATTTAACACACGCGTAACTTTTTTAGCCACACATGCCTCTGGCACTGTTGAGATAAGCCCAGTAGAAGAAGAGGAGGAGGAGGAAGAAAAATTGGTGGTGATGGGAGAGCTAAAGCCAGCCCTGAAGGAGCCAGGTACGACTGTGACAGCTTTTTCCCCCCTGCCTGCCATGTCACAACCCCACATACAACTCCTCGGGCAGCTGTCACCGCTTCTGAGGCATCAGTGCCACCCTGGAGCAGATGTACTCCTGGAAGGACAGCAGCATGCCTGACTCACTGCTGTGCTGGAGGGTGGGAGGGAGAATGCAGACAGCAGTGGTAATTGGGGGGCTCTAGTGTGGGTTTCAGTGAGACCTGTGTCAAGGACTCCAACGTAAAGATATCACCTCAGTGATCAAGGTCTTCCTTTTTTGCCCATCTGCCTTCTGTGTTGCTGACCCGTGGATACTCTATTCCATACACTTTTTGGGCACACATGAAATGCTGTTTAGCTCCTCGCTGAATGGTGTGATGTGAATTCTCACTGAGGAGCCACTTAAAACTGCATTCCTTCTTGAATTCCAGAAATATGGTGTCTTTGATTAGCTGGGTGGGCTCGGAAGAAATCCATGCAATGTGACTCCTCCTGACCACCTGTATATGATGTTTTTAGTGAAATAGCAATCAAAAGGCAACACTGGGAGAGCTAAATAGTTTGTTGTGCCTGTAGATAAAGACCATGAATTAACTGGGGCTTGCTTTGTTGCACAGCATTAGCTTTTGAATGTTTGTGGAAGTTTCGGGCTTACAGAGCTCAGGGGTTGTCTGGGAAGTCAGAACTCAAAGGAAGAAGCAGGCAGTTGTTTTTGTGCACACGTAGTGCTTTTATTTCAGGCTCATCCTCTCAAAAGACGATTTTTTTTCCAAGCATGTTATTCATTTGTGCACTTGCACGGAGTTGGAGATGCTGGATATCTCCTTGCAGCCGTGCCTTGTGCTGCAGCAGGAGATACCCATCTCAGCACACTGCGTGAGTCTGCTTTGGAAGCCACCTGAAAGTTGCTGTGAAGTTTTATTGTGAAGTGCTTGTTGGGGTATTTCCTTTTTATTCTTCTTTGCATTGCTGAAGACATCAGGGCTTTGTGGGAAAACTTTGGTTCCTCTTCCAGAAACCACCCATTTCTGATTGAGGGCGTGCAAAGGAGATCCAGAATTCACCACAGCTCTAAGTGTTGCTATTTTAAAGGTTGTGTTCTGATGGAGTTCTGTATGAAGGACCCAGAAATCAATGGCACAATGTCAAAAACAGATTAGCCTTTCTGCTGTGGCTTCTCTGCGGAGTGCAAGCTTGCTTTTTGTAAGCCATCTCTTGTGGGATTTTCTTTTTATTTTGTTCCAACCATCAGGAAAACAATCTCGACTTCCCCATACTAAATGCAAAAGCTGCTTTGCTCGACATCTTGATTTCTTCTTCCCTTTTTGCCTCCTTCTCCCTCCTCCCTTACAACTACGGCGCTGTAATTTGGAAACCCTTTGTGTGGAGCTGTGGAAGTGCTGCCCGCTCTGACCCTTGTGCTGCCTGTCTGTCCCTCAGCTGTGGCAGTGATAACACCTGAGAGGAGCCCCCGGCCCACCTCTGCTCCTGCCATCGCCCAGAGCCACGTGGCTGAGGCAGCCCCAGCTAAGCCTGATGCCAAGGAAGCCCTCGCTGCATCAAAAGTAGAAAAGGAAGCACTGAAAGCTGAGGCGAAGCGTGAGGAGGTCCTCCCAGAGAGAGCCAAAGCAGAGCAAGCTGAGGCATCTAAGGTATGTTAGTCCACATCACTTGGGGAGAGAGTGGTGCCAGGCTGGAGCTGTGGCCCTGGGCATCTTCCCTTCCTGGGCAACGGGTGGGAGGGAGCAGTAGGACCTGGATAGCAGGGAAATGCCGGCCCTGACCACAGTGCAAGGAGGGGGTGGCCAGGTGGAGGCAGAAGGGCTGGCTGGTGGGAGCTCTGGTGCAACTAAACACAGCGGGCAACTAAACGCATTTAAAAAGTCAGCAAGAATTGCACACAAACAGATATTTGAGTTTGTGTTAACTTGAATTCGGGGCTCACTCTTTGCTAAGCTCTATCTGCTGTTTCCTGATAGGGCAGGTGAGCAGTTCTGGTGCAATTAGTGACCCGGATATGGTCCACAGCCCAATACCTGAATGCACGTGCTCTTAATTTGTATACTTCCTTTGGATGTTTCTAAAAACCAGACTGAAATTCTAGTAGTGAACGGTGCTGTTCAGACCTTGGGGGCATTTATTGTTTAAATGGAGGTTTTTTCAAGAATATTCACACTCTCCACAGATGTCTGAGGCTTCTGCTGGTGTTGATGTGATAAAGATATTAATGGGTTGGTATTTTAAGTCAAAATAATGTGTGAAAATGTCGTTCATAGCAGAGTGTCCTTAACATTCTGCAAATCCCTGAAAGCTCACAGTGATGCAGCATTGGTGCACGCCTTGAGTCACCATTTCCATGTCAGCCCGAATGTTTAGTTGCTCCCAGCTGTTCCTGGAGCCAATTTTTGGTGTGACATGGGATGTGTGTGGTCTGGTGTGCACAACAGACGTGAGACCTGTGGTCTCATCTGACACATTCACCAGAGATCATGGTCAGTTACACCTGGGAGGTGGAGGTGCAGAAAGAACGGTTGAGCAGTAAATTTCTTGACCTGGATAATAATTTCTAAATGAAAATAGCAAAGGAAATCTTCAGGAGGGTGTATTTGAGAATCACTCTTCTTGTTACACCACTCAGGCCCAATAGCTTTAAAGTGAGGATCAGTAAATTTTATTTATTCCATTACACTTATTGCAGATTTGTTGGCTTGTTTGTTTGTTATTGTGGTTTTTTTTTCCCCCTAAATGCTTAAATATTCCTTTTTTTTCCCCTTTAAACGTAGTTGTGGGGGGAAATGGTGGATTTGAAGACATCAAATGTGCCGTTTCTCACACGTAGAACACCTTCTCACACTTCTTTTAACACCAACTGATGCTTTCACCTTCAGAGTATTCAGCATCCCAGTTTCCCTGAAGTGCTTTCCTTACAACATTAAGACAATCTGGGCTCTCTGCTCATGTAAATACCCTAATTTGAGATATTAGGTCCCTTTTTATGGGTAGGTCTCTTCTTACTGGCTGTGCAAACACAATACCACAGCGTCCCACCTGTGCTCATGTGAACGTGTTGCTTTTGGTCATGATTTCATGGGAAGATCCAGTGAAAACATGGGCTGACAAGTATAATCCAGCAGGAAGGCAGCCTGCAGCAGCACTAGAGAGCACTATTGCAAATGCACATGACTCTCAAGCTGAAAGAATGACCTGAAATGAACTAACAGACTGCAAGAGAGCTGCAGTGTCATTAACTCCTTGTGGAAGGCTGCATCTTGGTTTTTGCATGTGCATTTCAAAACCAGCGTTTCAAAACCAACCTGATGCAGCTGTGTTTGGAAACTAAATTGTCTCTCGAGAAAAAGGCTACTAACAAGAAATGTTTTTACCCATTTATTTCTTAAATGTAGGTGAGGAAAACGCACATTGAGGTCACAGCACCCACTACGGCTGGTGACCGACCCCAGGTTTGTGCCACTATCTCAGTTAGGACCCTCACTGTTTTTTATGGCTACACGGTGAGGTTTGACGCAGTGAAATGAACCAACCATTTTTGTGGTTTTGTTTTTCTCCCTTCTTATCACGGCCCAAACAGAAGCAGCCTGCAGAAAAAGAGGAAGAGCTGATAAGAATGAGGAAGGTCAGCCGTTTTACGCTTTCACAAAACAAATTTGCTGTATCACTCACGCATACTTGACCTGTTTAAAAAGACAGTGCTCCAATTCCTTCATGTGCTTTGGGTTGGGTTTTCATTTTCTTTTTTTTTTTTCTAAACCAGAGCTGTCACACACTTGATTTGGAAGCGTGGTGGCTGAAATGACCCACGTTGAATGTCACAGAGGCACCACCAAGCAAAGCAAAAGCCAATGAAACCCTGGGAGCTGTCTCTTTAAAGCACTCATTGCACTCATTGCATTTTCCCATCCCCATGAGCCAGACCTTCCATTCACTGGTGGTGACTGTGGCCCATCCCTCACCGGCGCAGCGCTGCGCTCCACTCACTAACTTTTTAATTTGCCAATTTGTCGATCCTGCAAGAACAACCTTTTAATTTTTTGTGCTTTTCTTTTTTTTGTTCCCCCTTTTCTTTCATTTTCACAGAAGAGATCAAAGAGACTAGATGGTGAAAACATTTATATCAGGCATAGCAATTTAATGTTGGAGGTTTGTATGAACTCAAAGCTTTTTTCAGTTGCGTTTGCCTAGATCTGTGTTCTGTGCTCAACTTTTTCTTCCTCTTCTGCTGCTGCCTTTCTTTTTGCATGCTACTGCATGAAATGTTTTTTTTTAAGTACGCTTTTGCATGTTGACAGTAAACATGACGATGTGCAGGCATTCTTCCTTCTACCCCTTCTGACTTTCATTCTCTCATACTCCCCAGGATATATGATTGGCAGAGCCATGTGCTCAGCCTGCTCTGTTCTTGGACCACGGCACACATTGTGGGGGGAGGCTCCTCTATGAGTTCCTGGTAGCTGGAAATAAATTAATTCTGGTGGGTGAGGGCAGCCCAGTGGAATCAAGGAAACACATCCTGGCACAGCCTGCATTGCAGTCCATCCCCTCGGGGCTGGCGGTGACCCATGGCAATGGATGCCCATCCATCCATCCATCCTTCCATCCATTCCCGTTGGCTCTGGGAGCCCTTCCCTTGGCTTCACCCAGCACAATCTCAGAACAGAACGTGCCAATCATATATTTACCCTTACACCATGTTACAGAAGACTTTGTGGCTTCTGATATTCTGTTCCTGTGTTATGTGTTTCTACTCCAACTTGCAGCACCAGCAGCTGGTAGTAGGGTTTTCCTCTTGGTATCTCTTGAAAGCAAAGTGTACTAACTGCCTTCTCCTAATCTGAATTTTAAAAGTTTTGCAGCTTTTGGGGATTTTCTTTCTTCTTTTTTTTTTTTTCTTTTTTAAATGACTGCTACAATTTAAGCTTTTGGACATGAGCGCCCATGGGCAGAGTTTGGCCACCACTGCGAGGACAGTGCCTTGTCACTTCCTTTAGACCAATTGAGCAGCTCCTCCTCCCCAACTTGAAGCACAGCTCTTACCCACACCCTGCTTCCAAACAGCTTTTTCCTGTTCATGAGGGACCAGGCTCTGCTCCCCCCACCCTCCCGCTGGTTCTGTTGCAGGTGCTCCAGTGGCTCAACCCCTCTGCTCCTCTTTACTCCGTGTGCGTGGCAAAGCTGGTGGTTTCTAGCAGACCTCACAACTGCTGGCACAGAAATGCTCCAGGAGCTGCTGTTTAATTGCACTGAGCTGCTCAGTGCTCAGTGCTCCATATGCTGCTCTCTGCGGACTTAGAAAAAGGCAGAACGTGAGGGAAAGCTTGGTGGTCATAGCATGTTCCTTAAGGTGTTTCAAGAGCAGCTGTGATCTCCTGGGTAGCTCTGTAGCTGCAGCCTCTCTGCAGGCTCAGATCAACTCTTAGGAGTGGCAGCAGGGATTTGGGTGCTCTTTCTCTCTTCTCCAAGCCAGTGGCAGCCATAGGGCTGCTGACCCCATGCCCAGATGCAGTTTGCATGGAGTCCTCAGCCTGCCTCTCTGTGCCACTTCCCATAAGCAAATGCTGTGCTTTATGTGGGACTGATGGCAGAGCTTTTATTTCCCCAGAACTGTGCCAAAAAGAGCAAATTTACTCATTGGGTGTTGGGGACCTGTCACACTGCGTGCTGCAGGATGCAGGTAGCAGAGTGGGACGTCTTCCTCTGGGGAGGTGTTTGCTTCAGGAAGTGCTTGCTTTCCCATCTTCTTAGGTCTATGGCTGCCAACTCAAAGCATAAAAGGAGTGAATTTTGCCAATGATGCTTTTCCTGACCTTACTTTCTCCTTCTCTATAGAGTGAGGCTTGCTGTTTTCTGGCACTGTCCAGAAAAGTCGTTTGGCTTAAGCCTATTTTATGCAAAAGCTTTGTGTTAAACTAACTGTTTGCTTGCAAGGGGAGGCTATTTCTAAACGTATTAGTTGAACAGAGCTGACTTGCCTCAAAGTCTGTTCATTTATGCTGTAAACTGGCATTGCAGAGAAGAAATCTGGCCCTTTCCAGATTAATAATCTAAGCAGGAGTTTCCTGCTTGATCCAGCATGAAGTAAATGCTCAGTTAAGTTTTAGAGGTCTGCATCTCATCTTCAGCTCTGAAGTCTAAAGCTCCTATGGTGGCTCCTGGAGGGAGGAAATGAGATGAGAGGAAAAAAAGATAATGGGGTATTCTGGAACCAAAGATAACTTTTGTTAAGACAACAGAGAATAGGTATAAAGAGAAGAAATGAAACTGTAGAGAGGCCTTCTTAACTACCCTTATATCCTTGAACATTCAGACTAGCAGAGGGAAAAGAAAGCAAATTCAAAAGCATGAAAGAACCCAAGCAAACTTAGACTTGCAATTTGAAAGCCCCATGTGCAGCAAGGCCATGAGGTGACACCTCAGCAGTCACAGCTGGAGATGAGCTGATGGCAGGTTTGGGTCCTGCAGGAGACACTGCGTGGTTCTGAGTGTGGTTTGCTCAATGCAAGGCCAGAAAGAAGGGAGAGGTACATTCACAGTGTGAGCACCACTGATGGAAGTTGGCAACAACTCTGCTGAGTGCAGCTTTGCTTTGTGGCAGCATAGGCAAACTGCAGGTTGCCCGTCTCCGTGTCTCTTCATTTATTCTGTCTTTCCGCCACTAGGATCTAGATAAGACCCAAGAAGAAATAAAGAAGCATCACGCCAACATCAGCGAGCTGAAGAAGAACTTCATGGAGTCTGTCCCCGAGCCTCGCCCGAGTGAATGGGACAAACGTTTGTCCACTCACTCCCCGTTCCGAACGCTCAATGTCAACGGGCAGATTCCATCGGGAGCGGATGGAGTGAGTACCTGGGGTCAGGAGGGTGCCCAGCAACTGCCCTGCCAGCCCAGTTAAGCCCCAGCTGCCCCTGGGTTGGGTGCCCTCAGTGCGACTGTTAGATGGGCTCTGCGAGAATCAGTGCTTTTCTTTTAGTGCCCTAAAACTGTGGGTTTTTATTTAGCTGGGTGAAGGAATGTGGGTGTTGTTCACCTGGTTTTGGTACTGCGTTTCGTAGTGCTGACAGTGCACTTCACGTGGCTGCTTTGGGGTTTGGTTTATTCTTAGTACCAAAGAATGCATCTCCCCAAAATATTAAACAAACAAAAAACCAACTACCCAACAACCCAGCCCTAAATCGAAAGAAGTTGTCGCTATGGAGATAGTATTGCAGGAATCCAGTGGACAAACACTAGCATGGCATCAATTGCAGATGTCACTGCAGTCCCCATTTAATCCAGTCCCTGGGTTTAGTGTCACACTGGGCTCTGCTAGTGCATGTAGGTGTGCTGTGGTGAGAGCAGGGCTGTCTGAGACGGCGGCCTCTGTCCTTGCAGAAGCTGTGTCTGCACATTGGGGGCTGCAGGCATTCCGAATCTCCCTGCTCATTCCCTCAAAAAAAAGGGACTTTTTAGAGAAACCGAGGTGGAGCAGCAATGTCTGCCAGCTTGTTTCTCCTTTGATAATGGACAGCTTCTCCCTTTGTATTAATGCTGGCACTGTCTGGCTCAGATTTGAAGCTTGTGAGTGAAACTGGTCATCAGTCCCTTCAGCAACGAATGAGATTTTCATTAAAAGTGAAGAAGTTGAATGCTGGCTGCAGTGAAGGCAGCCACAGAATCTCTCCTGGCTTAACCTCAGCTTCTGCCCTTCCTGCCCACTGCTCTGCAGAGAGACTTCTGGTGGCTTTTCATGCCATTGCAAGGCTGGTGGTACTCCATAAACAGAAGTAATTCTGCAATGGGTGGAGGGTTATCAGCAGAAGCACAGGGCTTCACTGGACAGAAGTTCACTGCAGGGTCATCAAAGCACGAACAAAGGCCAGTGCAGGGCTTTTTTCCTGTTAGAAAAGCAAAACAAGCCCACCAAAACGAGTCTGTTGTCGTGCTTGGAATTACCCTGTTTAAGGCATGGATGAGGTTTACACTTTGGTTGCTGTCTCTTAGTGTAAATTCTGCAGGAGTTTGCAGAGCACAGCAGAGCTCAGCCTGCTGCTTCGTGCAGGTGGAATAGAGCAGGGGCCCTGCAGCTCAGGAGCTGCAGTGCAGAAATGCAATTCTTAGTTACTCAGAAATTATTTTGTGGTGGCTGCACTTGGAGTGCGTGGGGAGCTGCTGTGCACAGCAACTGGGGGGTGTGCATTTACCCACTGAAGGCTGCAGTGGTCCACAGTGATGTGAAGATTGGTGTCAGCTCTTGATTTGCATTTCTGGAAATTCATTTTAGTTTGCATTCTGCTGTGGATTTCTAGAAATGCATCTTTGCACATACAGAGAAGGCACCTCCTGGGGCTGTGTTTCACTTGATCTGCACATCAGTGTGAAAAGCTCGGGGATGGTGAACATAATGCAGATAATTCATAATGCAGAGTAGCCCTGTTTCGTGGTGGTATCTTTAACCCCGAGGTGGTGGCAAAAGGATATGACTCTGCCAGGGGCTGTTTTTTGCTCTTCTCATATTGCTGCAAGACAACTGAACCTTACGTGCTTTGTGTGTCCAGGTAAAGAAAGTCACTGTCCTATCTTCTGAGAGACAGGTTGGTTGGTGGGCTCGAGGTAAAGCTGCTGTTCTGATACGTGCTTCTGAAACAGAATTCTGCTATCGCAATGGCACCAAGCAAAAACTCAACAGCAGCTGCTAAATAGCATTTTTCTTTTGGCTACGTGAAGTAGATTCATAACTCACAACACCCAGAGGACTTTGTGCACCGCTGCAGCTTTTGCAGCTTGCGGTTTGCTTGCGTTGGTGCATGGCTGGTTGGAAAGAGCTGCATGAGCGATGTGACGGTGTATTCGGAGAGAAAAGCAATGATGAAAGTTTAACTGTACCCTGTTCTTTTCATGTTGTCTTTCTTTCCGTTTTTCTTTTGATGATCATGTTACTCTTGCATTTTATCCTTTTTTTTTGCTGCCCAGTCTCCCAGCTACTTTCTCCCTGATACTCATCACTTAGGGGTGTGCAAAGAGCCGGTCCCCAAATACCACACTGATCAGAGGAGGCTGGCTCAGCTGAGGGAGCTCAGAGCCAAGTTCTTCCTTTCATAGCCTCACCATGGCTGAGCAGAAGGGATGGAGAGCTGCCTGGATGGGTCACAGCAGCATTCCCACAGTCCTATTTACTTCAGTGAACACACCAGAGCCCTTGCATGATCCTGTGTGACGATTGACTCCTTCTGTTTTACATTCTTGAGAATCCAGGAGCAAAAGTACTGAAATGCAGAGCAAAGTTTAAGGAGTTTGGAACCGTTCCACGCTCAGCATTTCTGAGGTGTAAAGATTTTTCACTTCTTCCAGCAGAATTTTCAAAGCGATGGAAATTTTGATACCGTTGTCTGAATTTTAAAGAAAAAAAAAAACCAAAAAGTTTTCTATCTGCACTGAAGTATAAATGCTCTCCGTTATTTAACAGATGCTATTTTTAAGGGCACTGTAGAATAGGGAATTGTACAAAGTGTGGTCTTTGTCTGCACCGTTTCTATTTGTAATGCCACAAAAGCAGACTGTTGTCCTGGACCGCTCCAATTCCAAACACATTGTAACAGGCTTTGACCTTGCACTTTTCTTGGAAGGCAGGCACAGAACACACGTGGATCATGACTCAGAGACCCACAAGCTCTGTCAGCTAGAGCTGTGCTTTGTAGCTCGGCCAGGGGTGTGAGCTGAGCTCCCTGGGGCTCTGCTTTCATAGCAGTGCATTTCCACGCTGACATTTGGACTGGCCAAACGCTTTGCACACCTCCAAGTATCGTTTTGGGCACTTCCCATCTGTCATTTTTGTTCATCTCTCTCTGTCTTTCTTGATCTTCTACCACGAAAGCAGACACAGGAACGTCCTCTGTTAGTGCAGGATGAAGACAAACTAAAAAAGCAGCAGATCCCTACTGAGACAACATTTCCCCAGCAAGCAAGCGAAGAAACTCTTCCAAAGGTTTCTATTCCGATTCCTGAAGAGCATAAATCACTCAAAAAGTGCCAGCTGTACTCTAGAATTTTTCCATCTCCACGTATCCCCTTTATGATGTCTTTTCTTGTGGTGGTAGCACTGACTGTTTGGTGGCTGCTGTTTCTCTGAGTGGGAACAGGGTCATGCAGAAACCTCAAGACCAAAGCTCCTGAATCTCTTGGCCGTGGCATCAGCTGCATCCTCCTTGTCCTGGGCTCTGATCTGCGCAGCTCGTTGCCCCTGGGGGGGGCACCCTGTGACATTTGCTTTAATCCTGCTGTTCTCTGTGTGGCTGTGATCTGGGGCCTGGCAGGAGTGGTAATGGATTGCCGTGGATGTCGGGATGCCTTGGAAATACGTGTTCCCAATTGCAGATGCTTGGGCTGCAAGAGGGCAGGCTGTGTGGCAGGAGGTCTCCCTCCATGCAGCCACTGCTGAAGATTTGCTGTTAGGCTTGTTTCGAACATAAGGTGTTCGCAAGCAGGACGTCTGACGGTGATCCAGAAACCCAAAGAGGCTTTTCAGCAACCCACTGAATCTAATCCATAACCACTCCTTCTCCAGGAAACTAAGTCTGGCATTGAGATAAGTAGCGTTGATCATCAGTGCTGCTGTTACTGTTAACTTAGAGACAGGGACAGGCAGCTTCTCATTCTCCCAGTGGGAAGCCCTTGGCAAAGCATCACAGCTTCCATCTTGTGCCCGTATTCTCATTTCAAAGCAACTGCATCGTTTTGCAGGAGAAAATGCATTAGAAGGAAATATTTATTGTAAGCATAGGTCGATTATTTTTCTCTCTCTGGTGGTCTTGGTATGCCCCAGCTGTGTTCTTTTTAATTTGTGTTGAACTAACTGTAGCATGTTTGCTTAAGTGACAGGAATGGGAAAACCCACTGTTACACGCGTCGCCTTTGGTAGCATGTTGATGTTCCAACTCTTCCATTTACCTGAACTGTGATAAGACCACTGTGCTCAAGCCATAGCTCCAATGTTAAAGCCATCTATTGTTTTGACTTCTCTAACAACAACAAAAGAAACCCGTTGCATGCTGCTTGTTGTTTATTGCCTACCTGTGTGATTGTCTGGGTGATGCTCCTATTTATCCAAGTTAACTCAATAATGAACGTGGTCGAGCTGTGTAGGATGGGCAGAACCAGGTCTGCAAGCTGGAGGGAGGATGGGGCTTTGTGTCCACGGGGTTTCTTTGTGTACATAGTAATTCTGTGAGTGAACTGAGCCACCTGCTTCTCCTTCAGCAGCAATATGCTTTCTGTTGCTTTCTGTGTAGTGTTGGTGTAGGAAGAGTTACTTCTGAGAACAGCCTCCAGTGCCATCAGTGTTGGCAGCTGCTCCAACAGCGTAGAAGAGAAAGGAGGACGACTCTATCACAGGGGCCAAAATATGTGACTATATATAAATACCTGTATTTATAACCCTTCATAGATCCGTATCTGTGCGAGCAGTGTTATTTAAGAAGTTAGCAAATGTGCTTACAGGAAAAAAGTGCAAGGCAAACTAGGTATGTACACAACTTGGCATGTGCTGGCTCATCCTAAGGATCCCTGTGTGTGTAGAGGCTGAGGCTCCCTAAATGCTGTCTCAGAAATGTAGGTTACGAGTGAAACCCTCCATCTGATCTCCTGGAATCCTTCTGATCTGTCTGCTCTCTTGTAACACGCTCCTATTAGTTCACCAGTTTGTGCCTTTAGGACTTAAGTTTTCTGCTGAATTCCTTGGAAAGTATTCTTCCCGTTACAATACACTGCCTTTAATACACAGTCTTCCTCTTTCAGCAGTAGGGATGGCAGATGGAAATCTGTTCAGGTGTACCACAGCCCGAAGGAGAGCTGTCAGCCCCAAGGAGGACAGCTGAAATTCAGGGGCACTGTGTTAAGTGGGCCTTGGAGAGGAGAGGTGGGAGAGCCTGGACATGGAGTGCTCCTGCATTGCAGAAGGTGATGGAGGGAAGAAGCTTTCCAAAAAGCTCTCTGAAACTGGAGCATGAATAACGAGATGTGGGAAGCATTGATCATCCACAGCAAGAAGGGACAGGGAATGTTTTGTTCTTCCTCTGTGTGTTCTGTCCATTTTTCATGGAGAAGAATTAACCACACACCTCCTGCTTCCTTCCAAAAGCCGTTGCTTGGAGTAGCAGCCACTGAGAGCTGCTTGGGTTGTTGCCCACTGTCTTTCTGAACTGATGATAAATAGTCTGAAGCCGTAGCAGTGGCTTTTGGTTGCTGTCTGTCTGCCATTTCCAAAGGACCCGAAGTCTGAAAGCTTTGCCTGGTGCAGTGTTTGAACTCCAGAGTGCTGAGAGATGCCCTCTGTTGGCCATTGCAGCTCAGTTCTTTAATTAAGATGATTTTTCTCTCTCTCACACTTTGTTGCTGAACCTTGAGATATGGCTGGATGTTATCAGCACAAAAAACAACTCCTTAAACTGTACGTTCAGAGAATGCTCAGCTACGTTCATTGGAGTTTATTGAACAGTTATCATTGAAGAGCTTAAAGAAACTGAACCGATGCTTTGTATTTCTAGGGCAGTGCAGGGGCCAGTTGTCTGTATTCATTCAGGTGGATATGGTCTTTTGTGGCAGGGAAGGATGGGAGCTTATCAAGAGCAGAAACACCCCCTGGCTGATGCTGAGGTGTGTTTTGGGAATGTCTGCAGTCCATTGGGCTCCAGTTTGCTCTTCCAGCCACTTCTTCCTCTTCTCTGTTTGCTTGTATGGCAGATGGAGCTACAGCAGTGCCCTGAAGCAACCTGCCAGGGTCTTGTTTTCGTGTGTTACGTGTATGGTGTGCATTGTGCTGTGCTGGGTGATTCCTGCTCTCGCTGCATTTGCTGGATGCCCGTTTGAGGCATGGCACTGCAGGAGGCCTGCAGGGCTCTGGACCATCTGGCTTAGTGCAAGGGCAGAGGTCTCAGGTTTTCATTAAGGAACTTACGTGTACTGAGCTCACTTCTTCCTCAGGAACAAACATGCTGCAAAGTACTGACAGCCCATGTGATTCTTACTTCCAAAAGGAAGCTGCAGATATCTGCAGGTAACCTCATCCCTGTTTGCATGGGAAATGCTGATTCTTCAGGATGAGGTGCTGCAGAAAGTGACGTCTCAGTGACTCTGACACGCCAGAAACATGGCTGCCATGGCACTGCCAGCAGTGTTGCTGTTCAATAGACTTTCCCAGTGCTGTGCAGCCTGCCTTGCTGCAATGGGACTCATTGGTGCTCACATGTGGGTCCCAGTGGCTGCACTAAGGGACCAGCTGAGCTTCAGCCCCTTTGTCTTGTTCCATCCTGGAGCTGGTGGTTTGCTCTGTGCTGACTTTCTGAGTCTTACCCTGATATCAGCTTTTCTGATCTCTGGATAAAAGGCAGAATAGTTTCTTGGGCTTTCATGCTTTAGCATGGAGTGGCCATGTTTTCTTTTCCATTACGAGAAGGGACAGCTGGTATTGTCTGTACCTCCTGCTGTGTGCTGCTTTGCCCAGTGGGTTAATGGACAACGAACTGAGGGTTCTCTATGAGAAGATGTGTTGGGACTTGGAGTTAAGGATAGGAGCAGTTTCCCTTCCAGTTTATAAAGC